AATACGCCGTCATCCTGATTGGTGACATTAAATGTCATGTCGGAGTCACAATCCAAGGCTGTCGCTATGTTAAGGCTGTTTTTATGGGTTCTGTTGGTTTTTCCTAAAAACCTGTCGGATAGCAGGTTTAGGATTGTTTAGGGTCCGATTGTCCAGTCACGACGGCACTTACAGGCTTAAATATTTTCCACCCTCGGCTCCTCTCTGGGAACACTGGCTGCAGCTCAGCCCAAAGGCCCTTCATGACTGACTGTTGGTCAGAATCTGTTTCAAGCATATTTGTTGCAAGTTTCTAAATGAGAATAAAGTGATTTGAAAAAATATACAGAGCTTCGCTCAGATTTGGATATTTGTACCAACAAAACCGAAAGTAACAAATGATTGGTTTAGAGGCTGACGGACAGGTTTGTTTCTGGGATTACAGAAGCCGATGGTGTCATGTTGCTGATGAAACAAAATGGCTGAACAGACGGACCAGAGGACGTCGAAGCCGCTGTTGGCTGCGACTCTCTCGGGCATGCTCAGTGTGTGCAGCGGGTCCACGAGCCCCAGCATTGGTCTGATGGCTCTGCTGGCGATACCTGAGTACAGACAACCAATCACTGCTCAGTTTGACACTGATGACATCCTTGCTGCACAAGACATCACAGAGATCCTTCTTTACAAGCAAACGATGTACAAACGTTTTACTGAAGAAAATGCAAACATTTACATGTTAATATAGAGAACACTCGATCAACAATAATCAATAATCATTTGTCTTTACTGACTGAATGTTTCAGTTAAAAATCTTTCAGAAACTCAAAGGTGAAACTGTCTCCAACAGGGCTTTTAATGTGAACTGCTTTACAGTCTAATATCAAAGCTTTTACTTTGAAACTCACCTGTTTTGGCCTTCAGCGGTTCATAGTCGAAGATGGCGACTCCGGTCGTCTCGCTGCCGGTTCCTGCAGTCGTAGGAACTGAAGAGAAAAGCATCATCAACAAACCGATCAATAACCTGCTGACGTCAAATTTACTAATAGATTAGTCGATCCATCAATACCCTGAGTGTGTCCTACCTGCAATCAGCGGCCTCACGGCGCCCGTCACCGGCTTCCCTTTTCCGATTGGAGCGTTGACAAAGTCCAGGAAGTCGGCGTCGGGGTGACTCGCGTACAGATTGGCTGCTTTGCAGGTGTCGATCACGGAGCCGCCGCCCACCGCCACGAACACGTCAAACGAGTCGCTCTTAGCGAATGAGATTGCGTCTTTGAAGCTGCAACACACAGACAGTCTGAATCTCTGAGGACCTCACCTGTAAGCAGTGAGGTCACCTGACTCACCTGGCATCCGTAGGCTCCACCCTCACGCTGTCGTACACTCGGTACCTGACGCCGTTCTTCGCCAGAGACTCCAGAACCGCCGCCACCGGAGGGAGGCGGGACAACGTCCGGTCCGTCATCACGCAAACGTTCCGAGCGCCCAAATTCTGCAAATCCTGCAGGAGAAGAACCACGAGGACAGGAAGATGACGACAACAATAATGTTTACAGCCACAACAATGACAACTACAACAACCAGGGCAACAATGCCATCAACAACAACAACAGTAGCACCAGCAACAACAAGAACGACAACCAGAAGAACACCACCAACAACAGCTGAAACGGTTCTGCACAGAAACAAGGCGGACCACGAGGATGCTACATGCTAGCAGCTGCTAAGGTACTTGCTAACTACTTACATGCTCATTAGCAGCTAATAACCCAGCTATCTGGGAAGATGCTAGAGTAAGTCAGCTGGCTTGTTAGCAGTTAGCTAGCTCAGGTCCTAACAGTATCAGAGCTGAACTGAACTAAATGACGTCGAATAATTATGCACATTTATCTACATACATACACAATGATATATTAAAAATAACTGAACAACCCAAAACAACAATCAGCAGATTACTAGTGAATCTAATGATTAGCCTGAAGGAGCTGCGGCTGATGTTCCTGCTCCTCAGAGGATGAACCAGCTGACACAGTGATGAGGAGGAGCAGGAGGAGGATTCTGGTTACCATGCCGATCTCTCTGGTGACTCCTTCTCCATATCTGATGTTGGAACTCGCCATCTGACAGAAACATAATTCACAGCTGATCAGAATGCTTACTCATCATTAGTATTTCAGTGACTCAGCATTTTCAGACTGCTAAGTCATTGAGTCAAATCAGCCTTTTTTGTGTCGGTTACCTCGAAGGCGTAGTCGGTTTTCCTGACAGTGCAGGTCGCAGCTCCAACACCTGCAGCAAGAAACTCAGTGAAAACACTGTGTATAGATTACCGATCAATTACTGATGGATTACTGATGATACTATTATTGATCTTCAGACTCTGAACTGAGAGCTCAGCTGCACCTGTGATGAATAATCTTAGTTTTGTGGCAGCTTGTAAAAACAGACGATGACCTCCTTTCAGATAACCTGTGAGCTGGTCAATCATTGATCAGCTCTGATTGATCGGCTCAGAGCTGTAAATCGATTACGTGTATGGATGAGACGAACCTCTGTGGAAGGTGTTGGAGTGAGCTGGACATCTGCACCTGTGACACAAACACACAGCGTCACTGAAACCTGCAGCCGCTGAGAACATGTGAGATTAGCAAGAACCAGAACAGCTTCGTAAAACCTTCATCCCCAAACCTGTAACCAATAACTGTGATCAATGACTGTGTGATCAATAACTGTGTGATCAATAACTGTGTCACCAATAACTGTGTGATCAATAACTGTGTGATCAATAACTGTGTGATCAATAACTGTGTCACCAATAACTGTGTGATCAATAACTGTGTGATCAATAACTGTGTGATCAATAACTATGTAACATATAACTGTGATCAATCACAGTGTTATTAATAATCATTACATCTATATCTGCTCCGTTGTGTTCAAACCAGTCCTGCTGAGTTCTAACATCTGGACCAGTGTCTGTGGATCTCCAGAACTCCAGGTGGGACACACCTGTGCTGTCATGTGGTCAGGTGAGACAAACAGGCAGGTTCTGACCAGGTGTCTCTGCTCTGACTGTCCATACCTGGACTCAGTCAGGACTTTCTGGACTTACCCTCATGGAAAAGGTTTCATAAATAATCAAGCGTTCAGAGTCTGAAGCAGCTTTACACCTGAACGCACGTGGTCAAACACGTGAAGAACGGGACCAATCAGGACACGGAGAAAAACATGAATTTGTCAAAACCTTGTTTTTCAAAGCAGAAACTCGGTTTGTGAATTCTGGTGATCTGGATGATCAGAAACTCTCCTCTGATCCAGAATCTGCTGAGAAACTCACTTGTAGCCACATTTCTGCAAAAGCACAGATTTCTGAACGGAGTTCTGAACGGAGTTCTGCTGCAGCCCCTGCTCCGCTCACCCCTTTGTTTAAACCAGGTTACTTTTAAATTGGCAGATTTTTAAACGGAGTTCTGCGCTGCAGACTCTTCTCCGCTTTCTGTCTGATTATTGATTATTGATTATAAAACTCACGCAGCGCGCTCCAGCTGCCTGAGCAGGTAAACAACTCGGTCACGTCCCGCCATCTCTGCGCAGCCTCAGGTTGTCCAGACTAACGTCAGAATGCTGCTTCTGTCCAGCTTTTCAAGGTAAAGGTCACCCGGAAGTATTCGGTACAATAAAAGCACGAGAACAAAATAAAGGCTCTTGTTTTTAAATAAAAGATTAAAATGAAACGTGATCACGAGCTGGATGGATCCGGAACCATGTTCTGAGGACTTTCAGCTGCTTCACTTGTTGTTCTACGAATCATGTTTATCTCCAGAACCTCCAAAAGTCCGGATTGTTAACAGAACAGCCTTCAGACGTGGTCTGGCATCAACAGTCTGAAGCAAACGTCACTTCCTGCATCTCATGCTGCGCGTTAAGGTCAGATTCAGTCTAACAGTGGAAGCATCGCTTTGACTCGAGGATCTCACCAAGTCGCTGCTCATCAAGTCACTGCTCACCGAGTCACTGCTCATCAAGTCACTGCTCACCGAGTCACTGCTCACCAAGTCACTGCTCACCGAGTCACTGCTCACCAGGTCACTGCTCACCAGGTCACTGCTCACAGGTCACTGCTCACCAGGTCACTGCTCATCAAGTCACTGCTCACAGGTCACTGCTCATCAAGTCACTGCTCATCAAGTCACTGCTCATCAGGTCACTGCTCACTGAGTCACTGCTCACCAAGTCACTGCTCACAGGTCACTGCTCACC